ATCAGCATGTTGAACTAAGACATAGCCTGCTTATATAGTTACAAAGTGGGTATAGCATGCTTCTGCTCAGATTGTAGTTTTTTGTTTGTTTGTTTTTTGTTTTTTTCAGAGTTTCCACCAAGTGTACTTTATTGAATCCACTGTGGACAGACAAGTGAAGGTAACATTTGCATACACATAGGGTAAAGGGTCAGGGCCTCAGCCTGGGAAGAGGGCCAGATGTGGACCGTGGAACTTGGGGCAGCTAGAATCCAGAATGTGGCACTCTGTGAAAACGACTGAAAGACTACCGCAGAGGTTGTAGAGAAAATAATGATGCAGATAATGACCATGAGGACACTGAAGATCAGGGAGCTGATGTTCAGGCACTTGACAGTGGAGGCGTAGGCCTGGGCTCCAATCACATCACCCACCATCTTCCAGTCCCTGGACTTCACAGAGTAGGCATAGGCAATGAAGCCCAGGCAGCAGGCATTGAAGAAAAGTGTATTGAACAGGGACCAGACCACATGGTCAGGCACAGAAACCTCTCTGGGCATGTTGATCACGGTGGTCCTCACAACAGCTGAGTTGTTGGGTTCCCCCAGCTCAGTCACCCCGTACTCCTCTTGGAGGAAGTCCGGCATTGGTAGGCAAGAAGGCTTGAAAATTGTGGCTCATAGTATTGACTCTGGAACAATCCCAGATTGTAGTTTTACCAAATACAGTCTTGCTTATGTATGGATGCTAGTTTCACCAGGCACAAGCCTCATGTTGCAAGCCTCATGTTGCACCAATGATAGGCTTTTTATTGAATCACGGGAGTAGTTCGTTTCCCATCCCAAGTTAGAATAACTGCAGAATGTTCTCATTGAGGTTTCTCTTTTCTGAATGGAAAGTTCTAAATCGAGTGCAGATTACCTGGGTAGTTATGACTGGAACAAGTCATGACATGAAGTCGATGTGGCTTCAGCAGCATTGAAACCTTGGTTATTGCTGCTAGAGTAGTTTTTCTTCTCTTTTCACAAATTTTATTTATTTTACATCCAGACTGCAGTTTTCTCTCCCTCTTCTCCTCCCAGAACACCCCCCACCCTCATAGTTTCTTTAAAGAGATTCAAGTTCATAAAAGTTCACAGCTCTTGGAACAGTCTTTGCAGTTAACAATAACAAAAAGAAGCTGCTTGGCTGGCAGTAGAGAAAAATGAAGGCTCTTATGGTTGTCATTCTAAGGGCTTAACAGCTAACAGTTTTACTCAGTACCCCAAAGTGGTACTTGCAACAAGACTTAGGAGGCTAACATTCTGAACAGTTTTCAACTAAGTGTTAGCCCTAGCCACATGCTCTATGGAGGAATCCTCTGGCTTGCCTCTATATCTTTTCAAGTTCTAATTTAAACCATAATACAGCTTTGCTAAAGTGAAATTTGTATTGGTTACTTAAGATTATGAATTATTTCTTCCCTACCAAAAATTTACTTATTTTGAATGAATTAGTTCTTTTTCTTCCACACCAAGAATTTACTTATTTTGAATAGACTTAGGTATAGTGTTGGACTTCAGCCTAACTTCTTCATTCGTTATAATGTACCTGAAATCTTCTAGAAAAAAAGTTTGTACTAGCTTGATAACTAAAATGTTTAAGTCCTAAGTATGGCATTAAAAAAAGTGAACAAATGAAAGGTTCTTCCTCATCTGTCAGTTTAGTTTAGTCATTGGCATGGTTCTTGAGGGAATCTTGAAAGTGACAATTTCAGTTCCATACTTAATGATGGTTGAAATATTCCTGTTTTTTTTTTTCAATTTGATGATGTATGTTCTTTACAATTTTTTTTTTTTTTAGATCTTTTAATTGTTACATTAGGTAAAATCTGCTTCTTCCCTGTAATTTTGGTCTTTTATGCCTGGTGAATATTGAAATAGTGTTGGCTTTTGAAATGAGTCGGTTTGAATGTTACTTCTTTTTATTTTTTATATGTATATCTGAGGTTTTATGTGTACTCAAAATGTGTGTGTAGGCCTGAGTTTGATGTTGAGAATCTTCTAGATTGCTCGTCTACCTTATTTCTGAGGCAGGGTCTCCCAACCAAACCAAAAGTTCACTGAAAGTACCTTGTGTAGTACTCCATAGTCAGTTTACTCAGAAGTTATTGGTATGGGCTTTGGGGATTGTAACTCAGGTCTACCCAATTGCAAGACACATACCTTCACTACCAAGTAATATCCCCAACCCTGAATTTTGCCCAGTCACTTAGTTGTGTTACTTTAGAGTAGGTATTTACCTGTCTCTGTAACTCACTTTTCATGACAGTATGCTTTGAGCATTAAATGAAATAATGAGATTTTGGTTTATTTATTTGTCTGCTTTTTGTTTTAAGAGAGTTTCTCTGTGTAACAGCCCTGGAACTCAAAAAAACTCCATCTGGCTTTGCCTCTTGAGTTCTGTGATTAAAAGCCTTGACTACTGCTGCTTGGCGAAATAATGTTTTAATTAGGACAACTATAATTGTGTATTATAAAATCTGTAGTAAAATATAATGAATGGAAGTAGTTGTGCTGAAACTTGACATTAAGGTTTAAATTGTGTACTTAAAGAAGATAATGGTTTGTTTTTGAGACAGGGCCTTCTGTAGCCCAGGTTTGGCATTGATTTTAAAATCCCTCTTCCTCAACCTTTCAAATAATTCGATTATAGGTGTGTACTGCCATACCTGATTTATAATTGTCTCAGTCACACTTGAGCTACCCTCTCATTTCTCACAAAATTGAAAGTACAATGACTGTGTTATCATCCTGAGAAATTTTTGTCTAGATGGTTTTATCACTATTGGATCAGTCATTTGGTGTGACTTCTCCATGCAGGCAAAAGATTTGGTTAACACGGGATGTATATGGCTGCTGGTGGCCTAACATGTTTCATGCATAGCAAGTTTTTAAAGTAGAGGATTCTAAACTAATAACTTAACTCACATATTAATGTACAAACCAGTAACATAGTTGTTTATTGTCATTGTCAAGTATTATGTATAGTACATAATTGTATGTCTATATATTCTGTCAAGGCTGAGTCCCAACTTTTCCTCTCGTCTGTTTGCTTGTTACTGCTAAGATCTCAAAATATATAATTTTTTAAAAAAATGATATTTGTTGGTTTTGGTTTACTTAAAAAATGAAAACTGATATTTTTTACTTTGTTATTAATGTGTTTGTGTGTATGGTGTGTGTATTCATGACGTAGCATGCATGTAGAGATCAGAGGACAACTTTCTGGAGTTAATTGTCTCTACCTTGATTGAGTTCTTCAGTTTTAAGTCTGGTTGCCAGGATTATACAGCATACATAGTACTCTACTCACTGAGGCATCTTGGTGGTGAAACTATAATGATATGTAGTGACTTCAAGGCTTACCTTATTATTAAAAACTGAGAGGAAAGGAGGATGCAGGAAATCCAACACAAGGTCTTGAATATGCTAAGCATGTACTTTTTCCTTAAGCTTCCCTCTCAGCTACAATAAACACAGCTTTTCATAACTCATTTTTTGGGCAGTTTTTCATAGTAAAGAGATTTGGGTTTTTTGTTTTGTTTTTTTGTTTGTTTGTTTCTGTTGTATTTTGTATTAGGAATTGAATCCAGGGCCTCTCGAGTAGTAGGCCAACATTCTACCCCTAAGCTATCTCTCTAGAACTTCAGAATTGCCAAACATTAATAAGAGATTACATGTATTTAAAATTTCCCTTTCTTTCTTCCTTTCTTTCTTCCTTCCTTCCTTCCTTCCTTCCTTCCTTTCTTTCTTTCTTTCTTTCTTTCTTTCTTTCTTTCTTTCTTTCTTTTTGTTTGTTTTTTTGTTTTTTGTTTCTCTGTATAGCCCTGCCTGTCCTGGAACTCACTTTGTAGACCAGGCTTCCATTAGTTTCTAATAAAAAACAAAACAAAAGAAAAACCCCAGACCTTTTAAGGCATAGTTTAATCTTATTTATGTAAAAGCTAAGACATTTAATAAAATAAATTTATAATATTTTAATATACAAAAGGTTAGGTTATATTTTGAAGTCTTAACTTTCTTTACATTTTATTTATTTATTATGTGTGTGTATGCCTGTGCACATGTGTAGTGGAGATAGCAGGAGAACTTGCATGAGTGAGTTGGTTTTTTGTTTTGGTTTTGTTGCTGTTGTTTTGTTTTGATTATGTGAGTTCCAGGAATCAAGTTCAAGTCTTCAGGCTTGCTCCAAAGCCAGTTGTAATTTACTATGTAGCCCAGTGTGCCCTCGAACTTGATATTCTTTTTACCTCAGCCCCTAAATGCTAGGATTTCAAGCATGTGCCATCATGTCTGGCCAATTGTGAATTTTTTGGTAATGTTTATTGTAACTTTTTTCTTGAAGAACAATGAGTTAAATGTGGTTAATTACATATTTACATATCTTTATTTTCACCTAAAACTTAACATATTACCTTCCACTTAGCTGACTAGGGATACTTATTATCTTGAATGAATTAATCTCATGAGCTTTCTTTTTTGTTAGTTGATAAAGTCAAAGTTGTGTTTTATTATAGAAATAATTATATTTTTGAGTATGGATAGGTAACATTAGTGTCATTTAGCATTTGGGCAGTGACATTTACTAAAGCAGTACATTATGTGGAAATTCCTTTTTGCTGTTATTTACACATATATTAATATATGTTATTTACATATATGTGGGTTGTTCATTTACGACAGTTTCTCACTGTGTAGTCTAGGTATTAAGCCTGTGATCCTCTTGCCTCAGCCTCCCAAGAACCTGGATTATAGATACGTTTCACATGTTTGTCACAAATAATTATTTTTAATTTACTTACTTGTCAATACTGAAATAGGAAATACTTGATATATCACTATTTTGTTTCTGATATTTGGAATGCTTAAGGAAAGAACCAATTATTTTAAATGAATTATGTGTATAACAAAATTACCAACAAATTTCTATAAAAAGGGTAAATTAAATGTACATACATTAATATAATATCTTTATTTTCTAGAAAGGCAAACTGAGATACAACTTGCTGCTTTTTGTAGTCACATGGTAAGTTTAAATATTTAAATTTGATCCAAGAATTTGTTCTTTTATGTATTTGTTTTCAGTTTGTGAGTACAAGCATCTCTGTGTTTGAGCAGGTATCAGAGAAAGACATTGGGTTTCCTGTCCTGTCACTTTGCTTTATTCCCTTCATACATACTGCGTTTCACTGAGCCTGAAGCTCACTGTTTTGGCTAGAGTGCCTAGCTAGCAAGCTCCTGGGATATGTACCTGTCTTTGTCCCTACAACACTGAGGTTACAGGCCACATGCTCCCAAGCCTGGCTCTTTATGTATGTGTTGGGGATTCAAACTGAGGTCTTCTTGTTTGCTCAACAAATGTTCTTACCATTGTGTTATCTCCCCAACTCCTCTATCAGTAGTTTCTTCTTTTTTTCTTTTCTCTCTCTCTCTTTTTTTTTCCTTTGATTTTTCGAGACAGGGTTTCTCTGTGTAGCCCTGGCTGTCCTGGAACTCACTTTGTAGTCCAGGCTGGCCTCGAACTCAGAAATCCGCCTGCCTCTGCCTCCCAAGTGCTGGGATTAAAGGTGTGCACCACCACTGCCCGCCAAGAGTTTCTTAATTTCAGGTTTATTTGTAGTTAAAATTACTCAAAATTGACTGATGTCATATGTCAATTCTTAGGTGACAACATATAGAAAGTCATATCTGCAACTTGATGGGAGACAGGTCCTTTCAACCAAAAGGTAAGTGTTGCTCCAGTAACTGATACTCGTGTGCAAGTGGTGTATTACACTTTATGATACAGTATGAGAGATGGGGAACATCTTAAAACCTCAGAACTGTTGAAGTAACAAATGAACTGACAAGTAGAAATGAAGTATTTTATCTCTGTTAACAGAAATAGCTACTGTTTATGTTAATATTTTATCAGTTTGGCATGCATTATCATAAAGATTTCTTCTATGCTTGTGCAACCATTTATTAAAAATTATAAAAGAATTATAGCTTTTTCTTAACAGTCTTTCATATATTAACAATGGCAGAGTCTTAGCGTGTGTGTGTGTGTGTGTGTGTGTGTGTGCTGTATACTATATTAGTTTACTCGGGTTGTCATAACAAATTATCATGGACTAGGTGGTTTAATTTGGTAGAAATTTATTTTTGGACAATTCTTGAGTCTAGAAAGTTAGGATCAAGGCCAGGCAGTGGTGGCACACGCCTTTAATCCCAGCACTTGGGAGGCAGAGGCAGGCGGATTTCTAAGTTCGAGGCCAGCCTGGTCTACAGAGTGAGTTCCAGGGCTACACAGAGAAACCCTGTCTCGAAAAAACAAAAAAAAACAAAAACAAAAAAAGAAGAAAGTTATGACCAAAGTAGTAAGCTAGGCTTAATGTCTTCTGTGGGTTGTGAGATAAAAGCTCTGGGCTTCTTATAAATGGTCATATTAAATTTGTGACTGATTATGGCCATTATTATTAAGAACTTGGTAGAATGTTGTCCAGTTTTGAGTCAAAAGTAGAAATGGCACTTTTTAGTATAGTAGGAAATAATACTTAGAAATTATAAAGATATTGTTTAAAATAGAACCTCAGATAATTTCTTGGTTTTTTTTTGTTTTGTTTTGTTTTTTTCTTTTCTTCTTCAAGACAGGTTTTCTCTGTATAGCCCTGGCCATCCTAGAACTCACACAGTAGACCAGGACCTTGAACTCAGGGTTCCGCCTAACTCTCTCCCCATTGCTGAGATTAAAGGAATGCACCACCAACCACCATTACCACCACTGCTGGGCTTGTGAGGTGATCTTAAAGTTAATTTTTAAATCCTTTCTTTGGTTTCTTAGAGAAGTCCTCCTAACATGTTACTATCCTGCATCCATCCCACTTAGTTATTCTCTAGATCTACTGACTTACTCTCTTCTGGGACTTTGTTTTGTATTGAATGCCATGGCCTGTGCACCTTATGTGTTACTCTTTGTCCATTATCCTCCCTCTCTCTCTCTCTCTCTCTCTCTCTCTCTCTCTCTCTCTCTCTCTC